AGTAACCAAGAATATGATTAAAGCTAAGTAAAGATTTATGATGAGTTAATTATGGTTAAAGAATGTTAAGTAAAGGTCAGAAAAGTCGGATCGTTATAATTCCTATTTGTTTTGTGGTTAAAAATGAAAAAAGCTTTATTTTTTATACAATCGGACTCACTCTCTTTTTCTATGTTACAGGAAGAGAATCCTCTTAAAATTCGTACGTGTTATCCTGAAAATGAAATTCCAAAATGATTCGATATTCATTCGGAGGGATGTCAGATTCAGATCATGCTTCCACGAATAATAACTTCTTGGGTTTTGTGTTTGGTTTTGTGCTTTGTGCTGTGGCTGTGCGGGACACTAATGAGCATTATTTAGGATGTAAATTAAAAGTGGGGAAAACCACAAATTTTACAATAGGTGAGATGGCTAAACGGTAATTTTCTTAATCCGGAAGATCTCTAAAATATGAGATTTAGGGGCTGGTTTTTTGAGTCAAAAACTCAAAAAAAATAACTCGAGTTATAATTTTATTTAAGTTTACGTTCTTTTAAGTTTGAATTCGAATTTAAACTCGAGTTTGAACTCGAGTTTGGGACTAAAACTCGAGTTCAAGTTTCTCCTTCAACTCGAGTTCAGAAACTCGAACTCAAATTAATAAACAGTATTTTTTCTATCCTTAAAAATGCTATACCTTTTTCGTTTTAATTCTGATTGAGATGATTTTTTTTTCTATGCGTTGACAACGAAAAGATGAATAAAACCCCACCCACATACCCTATTAAAATTTTTCATCAGCATTGAGTTTTTATTAAAATACTATCTAAATACAAATTCAGGTTTTGACTCACTCAAACATAAACTCAAAAAGATTCTTATCTCAACCTATAAGTCAAATGTACACGACCAAACACAAACTCAAGTTAACACTTCAACTCAAGTTATAACTCAAGCTCAACTCAAAATCTATACTCAAGTCACCTAACTCAAAAATGGCAAAAGAACAGCCTCTTACTCTTTATGTTCCTTTTTTTGTTGTTTTTAGATTTGTGCTGTTAGAAGAAGAGAACAATGGATAAAAAATTAAGAAGTAATTTCCAGTTCAACAAGATTAAAGATCCGTTTAGTTCGCTGATTCAAATTTTTAATTCAAGTTGATATGTGACTTTATGTGAGAGTTTTTTACTATAACAAAAAGTTTGATGTGACTATTTCTAAAAATTTTTTACTGTAGCAAAACTCAAACTCAAATCGGTAAAATGAACGAGGCTTAAAACTTTACTTGTTTTTTGTTGTCTTTGCCGTATCCAATGTCTATCAAGAAATCGTGTCAAGAGGATGTAAATAAAATTTTCTTTGCTTTGTTTCAAAAGGAGTGACAAGTTCTTTCCTTTCATTTCTATCGATTTGATTGCACTAAAATGAGAAGTACTTAAGATTGCTATATTTTGACAGACAAACTCAATTTTGGAAGAGTGTTGCATTGTGATACTTATCTCAAGATATCAAAATTGGTTTTGCAAAACATTAAAAAAAAAAAAAAAATTAAAAGATCTGGAACACGTAATCACCAAAAGAAGAACAGAGTAAATTGGTTTTGCAGTAGTTAACATCACACACTAAAAGAAATCAAGTCCTATAAGCATTCGGATCGCAGGTATTTGGGGGTTGGGTGGTCCGGGCAAAACAACCCTTGCTGATGTTGTATTCAATAAACACTTTCATAAATTTGAGAGTTATTGCTTCCTTGCAAATAATTAATTTACGATTTTAGGAAAAAAATTCCCTTAAAAATTTAGTAACCAAGAATATGATTAAAGCTAAGTAAAGATTTATGATGAGTTAATTATGGTTAAAGAATGTTAAGTAAAGGTCAGAAAAGTCAGATCATTATAATTCCTATTTTTTTTTTGTGGTTAAAAATGAAAAAAGCTTAATTATTTATACAATCGAACTCACTCTCTTTTTCAATGTTACAGGAAGAGAATCCTCTTAAAATTCGTACGTGTTATCCTGAAAATGAAATTCTAAAGTGGTTCGATATTCATACGGAGGGATATCAAATTGAGATCATGCTTTCACGAATAACAACTTCTTGGGTTTTGTGCTTTGTGCTGTGGCTGTGCGGGACACTAATGAGCATTATTTATGATGTTAATTAAATCTTAGAACCAGCCAGTGGGAAAACCACAAATATTGCACTAGGTGAGTGGCTAAACGGTAATTTTCTTAATTCAGAAGATCTTTAAAATATGAGATTAGCCCGTTTGGTTGGAGGATTCATTTTCTGATTTGAATCATAATTCATGATTTGCTACAGTATTTTCTCTCACAAAAAACACACGTAAATCGAAAATGGTTCTATATTGAGGTATATTCAATACTAATGGTGCTCCAAGTACATTTTTCATATTCTAAAAAAAATAATAATAAAACGAGTATACAAAATATATTTGGAGAGATTCAGATTAGATCGAAGAGACCCAATATTCTTACAACTCCTAATTCAAAATGGAATAATAAAAATAATAATAATAATAATAATAATAATAATAATAATAATAATATTTATCCTAAGATCAGAATTAGGAGTTTTATATTTATCTACTTTTATCTTTATTATCTTTATCTTTTATTTGGTTCTAATTCATGAACCAAACGGGCGCGTTTAGAACTCGTTTTAAAATGATTTTTTTGTATGAAAATGAAAATAAAAACGTTTTCAATCTCAGACGGAAATCATTTTTGAAAATGTGTTTAGTAGTTTTATCAATAGATTATTTTCAATGTAAAAAAACTCATTAATGTCTCTCTTTCTCTCTCTGCTCGAGAGAGGAGAAAACGAAAATAAAAAATGAAAAATGACTAAAAGTTATTTTTTATTTCTCTCTCATTTTACACTAAACTAAAAAATCGTTTCCATTTCCATTTTTTATTTTTATTACGCCAAACACTGTTTTGAAAACGTTTTCATTTTTTCTTTCTCGAAAAACGTAAAAAAAAATGAGATTAATTTCAAACACGGCCTTTATGTTTCCTTCTTTGTTATTTTTAGATTTGTGCAGTTAGAAGAAGAGAACAATGGATAAAAAATTAAAAAGTTATTTCCAGTTCAAAAAACTTTACTTCTGTTTTTTTTTTTTTTTTTTTTTTTTTTTTTTTTTTTTTCCCTTTTCAAATTTGCCGTATCCAACGTCTATCAAGAAATCGTGTCAAGAGGATGTAAATGAAATTTTCTTTACTTTGTTTCAAAAGGAGTGACAAGTTCTTTCCATTCATTTCTATCGATTTGTATGCACTAAAATGGTAAGTACTTAAGATTGCTATATTTTGACAGACAAACTCAATTGTGGAAGAGTGTTGCATTGTGATACTTGTCTCAAGATATCAAAATTGGTTTTGCAAAACATTAAAGAAATAATTTAATTAAAAATCGGGAACACGTAATCACCAAAAGAAGAACAGAGTAAACTGGTTTTGCAGTAGTTAACATCACACACTAAAAGAAATCAAGTCCTATAATATTGAGGTATATTCAATACTAATGGTGCTCCAAGTACATTTTTCATATTCTAAAAAAAATAATAATAAAACGAGTATACAAAATATATTTGGAGAGATTCAGATTAGATCGAAGAGACCCAATATTCTTACAACTCCTAATTCAAAATGGAATAATAAAAATAATAATAATAATAATAATAATAATAATAATAATAATAATATTTATCCTAAGATCAGAATTAGGAGTTTTATATTTATCTACTTTTATCTTTATTATCTTTATCTTTTATTTGAAAGTTGTTTTAGGATAATTATAGTTATAATATTAGGATATCTTTTAAAATAGGAATTATCTCTTCTAGTTTCTTTAGGAATTATCTCTGCTGCTTTCCTTTTATTTATTACGATAATTATTGTGTTTTTATTTGACTTGAAAAACCACATTATAGACTTTATTAGAATACTACTTCATATGAGAATAGAACTTCAATTCCAAGTAGAAATTGATCATATATAGGCGAGGCTCCCACTATATAAGTTTACAAAACCCACCTCAAATGTTAATCTTCATCATTTAGTTAGTCTTCTCTCTACGGAAGCTGGGCTCCGTACGTTCTGATACATCTCCTGAGGGCGTTGGTGTTGCGACTCAGTAAGTGGAATTATAACAGTAGTAGCTCCTATATATATAAATATAAATATATATATATATATGTATATGCCACATCTCTTCTTCTGCTGTAATGCCACTTTCTGAGACGCAACGTCGACTTCCTCAAATTAAGCGCTATTAATCTTCATTTAATCGTGATGAACAAGTGATATATATATATATATATATATATATTATAGGTTTCTATATATCTAATTCACTTGTCTCTTAATCACTTATCTCTCTTAATCGTTTAGTTAATTTCTATATTAATTGAAAGCTTAAAATCAATGACATGGGTTAACAAAGAAATTGTCCTGTTTAAATAATGCAACACACTTGAACTATGCCAGTGCTCTGCATGCATTTTCATTAACAACAAAAGCTTTATATTATTAGACACAAAACACGGTGAATTTTTCAAATTTTTTACAATTGCGCTCTCTCTAATTTTTTACAATGCGATCACTGATCAATGAACAAAAAATATGATCTGAATATCATCAAGAATATCGAATGCAAAGAATAAATGAAAAAGAAAATTACTAGTATGTATACACTAACAATACACCGTTCAAATTTTATTTCTGTGTTGCCTTATTGACAAAAAAAAAAAAACGGAAAAAAAAAGAAAAACTTAACTTATAAAGACAATGTGACATTGTGATCAATTAATATAGAAATTTAAATGGGAATATCATCAAGAATGCATTATTTATAGTGGAATATCATCAAGAATTAATGTCTAGAATTAACAAAGAAAAGATAAGATTAAAAGAAAGTACTATTAAAGAAGTACCATATTAAAATGGAAAATTACTTCTGTTTGGCAGCCTAGAAAATTAGAAAGCTATTGTATTTAGCTAGTTTCGGTAGTACTGGCCGCATCGGACGTTGTCGGTAGATTATCTTCTGCGCTTGTGAGATTGGCGAGAGCGAAGCATGGATTTCCATTTCGGCTCCTAAAGAACCAAATCTGCAGAATATCATCTTTCTTGAAGCCATTCCTCTCGGCGATCTCGTGCCATTTCTTCTTGACGATAGTAAACTCGTAGAGGCTAAGGCTTGTGCCATAATGCCACTTTCTGATACGCAGAATGGACTTGTTCAAACACGGCTCAAAGAGCATTACGTCGACATCTTGAAAGCCCTTCAAATCGTCATGATGATTCTTCCATCTCAAAAGAGCCTTGATATCCTCCTCCTTCAAGAACTCATCCGATTCGTAGAGCAAGTAGATGACCGGCATCGAAATCCGGTTCTCGAGGTCGCTCTCGGAAAGTCTCTTCCATAGAAGAAGCCTCTCGCCATGTTCACCCGTTTCTTGAACCACCTGTCTCACCCATTTCCGCGTCCCGGACAATGGCTGCTCATGATCATCTGATTCGGATAAGTACTCAACATTCTGATTCGGACAAGTCATGAATATTGTTGTGAAGACAATCTTCTTTCAAGGAAACTTGTTGATTATCAAGATCTTCATCTTCAAACTGGTAGCATATGATATGGTTGAAGAATCGGGGTGACCTCGTGTTCTCAGTGAAATTAATGTTGTAATCGGCATCGCTTTCAAACTCGTCAGGACACGACCATTCCTCTGTCGTCTTCATCTTCTTGAAAAGGCAAAAACAAAACTAACTCAAGGACTAGATCAGAGAGAGGGAAGTGAGTGAAGAAAGTGAAAGAAAAAAAGACGTAAAGGAAGGAATTTCTGGTGGGTTATTTCTGGTGTGAATATATATGGGGTTTAGATCAGGCCGATTATGGGTTATTGTCTTTTCTGAGAACTACGCCTTGAGAACATGAATCTCAATCAGAATTTGAATCTACGGTGTAAACCAACAAGTAACATGATAAGAGGTGGTGGGAGATGGGAATCCACGGTATTGAAGAGGTCTTGGGATTTAAGAAAGTTACGTACTGAGCATGAAAAAGTCCAGTTGTCCAAGTATTGTTGAGTTATCAAAGTATTTTACATTAGATGATTAGAATAATATTGGTGAATTAAATTCGGAAAAATAAAAGAACACTATATTACAGAGCAAAAATTAAAGAACGTAAATAGTATATACTAAAGCGCCATGTAAAAAGTTCGGTTTCGCTTCATGTAAATAAATATAAAAAATAAAAAATAAAAAACCCTTCGGTTTTTTTTTTATTCGTATCCGTAGGTACAATGTTTGAATCAATAGAGAAGCTTTTCTTTTGTTTATGTATAAATCGATATTATCACACTTACAATTCCTTTTTCAATACTTCCAAAGCAAGCTTCTGAATCAAATCCCAAATTAACGGGTTAATATGAGCTTATCTATGCGATTATGCACTCTTTGCATAGAAATTCATTTTCTGAAAGATCCTAAAAAAAACGTGTGTGTGTGTGAGAGAGAGAAATACGTTGTAGGCTATAACATTGTGATTACACCGAATAAGAAATTTATATCGGAATATCAGAAGATTTTATGTCTATTAACAGAGAAAAGATAAAAAGAAGAGTATTAGTATTACAATATGACTAGTAGTCAGTAGCGGAGGCAGAAAATTTGTTCAATGGAAGCATGAATTAAACTAAAATGACATTATAATTATTATAATAAAGTTTAATTCAATTTTTGAAGTACTTCACGGTTCAAAAAATTATGAACTCATATAATATTATAGTTGATTACAGATTAGTTGGTATTTTTAATTTGAAATATGTGTATATTAAAACTCAAAAGTTAAAATTTAGTGGCATAATTGAGATTTTTCTAAAAACTTTGTAAATGTTGTAAATTTAAAACTTCAGTGGGGCAAAGTAAGAAGAAAACTGCCAAAAAAAAAAAAAGGGGTTCTAATCTAAAGGAGCTAATTGGGTCCAATGCAGCTGCGCCACTGCTAGTAGTTATATATCCATTTAGCTAGGTGATTATCAATATGACTAATCATGTTGCATATTTTCTAAACCTCTAATAGTACTCGATCTTGAAAACAAACGTAAACTATTGAATTTTTTTTTCCTTTTATAATGGAAAATGACGTTGTCATGCCATGTTTTCTGTTAATATTTATGCTCTTTACCCTTTTAGACTAATGGTGTTCAAATAACTAGAAATTGAAAACTTAAAACCCATGGCATAGCTTAACAAAGGAAATTGTCCTGTTTAAATGCAACGCACTCAAATAATATATGCATTCGTTTTCATTAACAACAAAAGCTTTATATAGGAGACTAATCTGCCATCTCTCGTGAGGCGGTTAGGATTTTAAATTTGGGATCTCTTCTTAGTGTCGAAGTCTGACATTGCCACTGATTAGTCGCCAGACTCTTGCACCTTGAACGGTGACTGAGGTCGTGTAGGTGTGGTCAGTGATTAATGGGCATGATCCATTGGCAACAGAGGCATAGATTTGGTGGAGTGTGGGAGGTTATTGGTTGATACTGCTGCAACGGCTTTGCACAGATCCGATTTCTTTAACTTTCATACAATGGTTTTTGGCTTGTTATTGGCATCTATTCCTCTATGATTGAGGCTATTCGTAAGTTTTGTAGGTTTTTTGTTAATTTTAATAAGGTGGCGTTTTTGCCAAGTTTATGTAATGTAATAACGGAAGTGGTTTCCCTACTTTTCGATTTTGTTTATGTATCCCACCCGTTTGAGTTGGTTATCGACGTTGTGTGTGTTTGTTTAAACCTAGATTTGTTTCTAACTAGTCTTGGCTGTGTTCCCAGTATTAGGGATTTGGTCTCAGTCGACTGGTTTTATCCATCAACTATAGTGGTTCTTGTTAACAAGCTTTAGTCGCGCTTGATTTTGTTTGTGCCGAACGGGTCTTTCCCATTTGGTCTCAACACTTATGTTTGCTTTTGTACTCCATCCGTCTTTACTGGTAGATCCAGTCAATGTCCGGGGTCAAACTCCTTTATAATTTGTGATCATTTGCGATTATTCATGTAATTTTTAATAATTAATGAAATTTTCTTTTAAAAAAACAAATATATGATTAATGATTATATAATTAACGTCCTTGACACAATACATACGGTGAATTTTTCTAATTTTTTACAATTACTCTCATGTGTTTCAAAATAAATTAGTCTAAAAAAAATTAAAAGACAACTCGTTGTTCTAACTTTTCGGTTTTAGCCACGAAAGCCTTATCAAATTTTTGTTCAACCTCGGACTTCTTCTTGATTGGCTTGTTGTAGTAGTTGATTACGGGTGACTTTGATTGCATCCATCTTCACTTTGAGACACAAAAGCCTTCATTTTTTCATTTTCTCAGAAAAAAAAATTAAAACGAGTAAACAAAATTGATTTCAAGAGATTCAGATTAGATAGAAGATACCCATATATATATTTAGAATGGAAGAGACCCATATTTATTCTTACAATTACTCCTAATCCAAAATAGAATAATAATAATGATAATTAAAAAAAAACACATGATAGACTTTATTAGAATACTACTTCATATGAGAATAAAACTTCAATTCCAAGCGGAAATTGATCATATATAGGCGAGGCTCTCACTATATAATTTTACAAAACCTACCTCAAATGTTAATTGTTATCATTTAGGGCGTGTTCGGGTGTCTAAAAAACTCAAAAAAATACAACTCGAGTTCCAACTTTATTCAAGTTCATATTCTTTTAAGTTTGAACTCGAATTTAAACTCGAGTTTGAACTCGAGTTTGAGACTAAAACTCAAGTTCAAGTGTCCCCTTCAACTCGAGTTCAGAAATTCGAACTCAAATTAATGAACAATATTTTTTTCTATTTTTAAAAATGCTATAACTTTTTCGTTTTAATCTTGATTGAGATGCTTTTTTTCTATGCGTTGACAACGAAAAAACGAATAAAACTCCACCCATATACCCTATTAAAATTTTTCATCACCATTGAGTATTTATTAAAATACTATCTAAAAATAAATTTGAGTTTTTACTCACTTAAACACAAACTCAAAAAAAGATTATTATCTCAAACCATAACTCAAATGTACACAACCAATCACAAACTCAAGTTACAACTTCAACTCAAATTATAACTCAAATTCAACTCAAAAATTACACTCAAATCACACTCTAAAAGAACAGTCCCTTAATTAGTCATCTTTGGAAGCTCAACTCCGTACATTCTAAGTGGAATTACAGCATTAGTAGCTCCTATATATATATATATATATATATGCCTTATATGTCACATCTTCTTCTGCTGTAATTCCACTTTCTGAGACGCAACGTCGACTTCCTCAAATTAAGCGCTTCAAGTCCCCATCATGCATGATTCTTCAAGTCCTCCTCGTTAAAGAACTAGTGATACATACATTTATATTATATGGGTTTCTATATATCTAATTCGTTTATTTCAATCAATCGTTTAGTTAAATTCTATATTTGTTCTTTTTTTTAATTTTATTTTAAGGTTATATTTTAATATCATCCAATGCGCCCATGTGCTGATTATGTTTAAGAGTTGGGCAACATAACTTTTGTTTTGGAGCTACGAAGTTGAATACGTCGTACTAATTTCTTTATTTTTATATCATGTTGGTTGTGGTTTCAATTGAACTTTGTCATAATTATAAAAATTTAAGTAACAATATGATGCAGCCATATAAGATCAGAATTAGGAGTTTTATATTTATCTGCTTTTATCTTTATTATCTTTATCTTTTATTTGAAAGTTGTTTTAGGATAATTATAGTTATGTTAGGATATATTTTAAAATAGGAATTATCTCTTCTGGTTTTTTTTAGGAATTATCTCTGCTACTTTCCTTTTTGTTTATTACGATAATTATTATGTTTTTATTTGAAATTTGAGTTCACGTAAAAAATGAAGGAAAAAAAATGAGAGGTTGACACATGGTTAAAAGAAGAGCATTCTTTTTGAGTGGTAGCAAATCTGATATTTTTTAATATGTTATAATTGAATTTTTCAATACATACTATTTACTAACTCCCTTTAAAGTTATATTATGCTATTCATTTCTAGTCCCCATCAAAAAATCATATTTCCTTCTTTCTACCATTTTTTGTTAGTTCTTTTTTTCTCAACAAAAAAAAAAAGGCTATTTACACTGGGACCATCTGTGTTTTATTATATTAATAGAGACAAGCTCTTAATGGAATCTAACTACTGGCCTGTTTATTTTACTGATTCGAGTTTAGAATTTGAGTTTTGTTACAGTAAAAAGCTCTTTGAACTCGTCACATCTAACTTTTGTTGTAGTAAAAAGCTCTCATATAGAGTCACATCTTAACTCGAATTAAAAACTCGAATCAGCGAAGTAAACGAGCCTACGTCAATATCCTTACCTTTTTGAAAAATACACACACACACCCCTTCCATTAGTTAACCGTGGCTGTTGACTATCAAATTTTGTTTTTCAAATATGAGAAATTCCCCTTCATGTATTAGAAATTGCTTCCATGCTATATATAGTTTAGAAAATTTCATTTTAACCTTTATTTAACACCAAAAAGGATTTTAATTATTTCCTACATACTTGTAACCGTAATTTTCATCCTAATTGAAAGAAAAAAAATTCTTAACCTTTATAGAATTTTTTTTATTTTTGGAAAATAACATAGAAATATATCTAACGTAAAGTATATCTAGAAGCATTACATATTGCAAAGTTCATCCATAATGCAAGGTACGTCACAATTTGTGGAATGGCGTCAGTGGTAGGCGGCTCAGGGGAGCGACTACATGGATTTAGCGACTCATGGATAGACGTGACAATTTGTGGCACGTGTTGTGTTATTTGGTCATTTTTTTAATCTTTTTGTACTTTTTTAGAGTTTTTGTACACATTATAAAGAACTTATAATTCATAATTGGCTCAAATATACCCTTCATGTATTAGAAATTGCTTCCATGCTATATATAGTTTAGAAAATTTCATTTTAACCTTTATTTAACACCAAAAAGGATTTTAATTATTTCCTACATACTTGTAACCGTAATTTTCATCCTAATTGAAAGAAAAAAAATTCTTAACCTTTATAGAATTTTTTTTATTTTTGGAAAATAAATAGAAATATATCTAACGTAAAGTATATCTAGAAGCATTACATATTGCAAAGTTCATCCATAATGCAAGGTACGTCACAATATGAAGATACAAATAAATACAACAAATATTAAACTAATAACAACAATAAGATCGAACAAATTTCACTAATATCAATCAAACAAATTCAAAAAAAAAAAAAAATTGAACTCGTAGATTAAACCACAATTATTGATTCCAGTATTCCGCAATCAAACAAACAAAACCTCAAATAAACTCCACAATCACAAAGATATCAACAAATTCCATAACATTAATTTTCAACAACAAAACTAATGATATAAACAAATTATTTATACCAAACCATACTAATCTCACAAATATCAATTTTCGAAATCAACTAATCACACAAACTAGTTTCAACAAACCAAACTAGTATCACAAATTCCATTTGGAGCAAACTAATTTTGCAACAAAACCAATATAACTAAAAAAAAAAACAAAAATATCACTTTTCACTTAAAGGGGACATGCCCGTTAGGAAGTTCAGTGGAATGGCGTCAGTGGTAGGCGGCTCAGGGGAGCGACTACATGGGTTTAGCGGCTCAGGATAATGACTACATGGATTTAGCGACTCATGGATAGACGTGACAATTTGTGACACGTGTTGTGTTATTTAATCATTTTTTTAATCTTTTTGTACTTTTTTAGAGTTTTTGTACACATTATAAAGAACTTATAATTCATAATTGGCTCAAATATATGATAACATCCATCAAAGGTAACCAAATAAGAGCATAAGATTTTGAGAGTAAATATCATAAAGAGCACAAGTTCATAACAATATTTAAAATATGTAATGCAAAATATATTTTTAAAATATTTTTTCATGGGATTCATGTTGTGTTTGAGGTTACGTGGGTTGAACCTGAAATTGATTCATTTTTTATATTAATTTCATGTCGATCCAAATCTAACTCGGACCCCCTTTCTCTAACTTAACCCATTAAACTCATATTTTTTTTGAGTTGTGTTGTCATGTCATGACCCGTATTACCAGCTCTAGTCATGGGAACGATGCTCAAACGTTGGACATGTTAGGGAAAAAGCTTTGGGGAGCTGGGTGGCTCAGGGAAAAGGTTTCGAAGGTTAGGCTTCTTGGCAAAAGGACGTCCGGGGCTCAGGGGAGCGACGCTCTGGTGTTAGGCGAACCGGCCGGGGGAACGGCACTTTGACATAGGGCGGCTTGAGCAAAAGTTGCTCCGATGCTGGAGTGGGCGACAAGCTGAGGATGAGTTTGACAGGGCTGGGGCCCAAGCTGGGGCAACACTTGTGGGAGGGGATGTTGATGTGATTTTAGGGCGTCTAAAAGTTGCTCCGATGCTGGAGTGGGCGACAAGCTGAGGATGAGTTTGACAGGGCTGGGGCCCAAGCTGGGCTGGGACTTGTGGGAGGGGATGTTGATGTGATTTTTATTAGTCAAGTGGCATCTCTCTTAGTTTGATAAAACACAGCGGATGTAAGTATAAAAAGCCCGAACACAATTTTTGTTACTTGATTTGCGTGTTGTTACCTTTCTTAGCACATGAATTAGCTTGCTAATTAAGTTGGGAGTCCAATTAACCTCCCTAATTAACGTTGGAGAAGTTAGCATCACACAATGCGAAACACAAAACAAAAATAAAAAGGCAAGCCAACTCAGGACCCACAAAATGGTGAAGATACCTTCCAAGACCGTGGCTGCCAGAAAAGGAATATATCTTTTTCACCAAGGAAATGAAAGTATAGAAAAAAATGCGTACAAAAAGCCATTTGTATCTCATTGTTTTGAAGTTGATGAAGATAACCAACGTTTAATTCAATCGCACAACAAACTAGATCACCCAGACGAAAGTAAGTAAATATCGGCCTCATTCATTTCACCAATTCGAGTTTTCAATTTCAATTTTACTACAGTTAAAAACTCTCATAAAAAGCAACATCAAACTTTTTCTGTTATAGTGAAAAACTCTCAAATAAAATTACATCTCAATTCGAATTGAAAACTAGAATCCGCAAACTGAACGAGGCCAATATCGTCTAAAAAACAAACAAACAAACAAAAGAGAAGAGAAAAAAAAAAAAGGCAAATTAATGAAGATGGATGGGAAAGAGATGGCCGGTGGAGTAGTTACTCCCATCGGCTCACCGGTTGGCGGCGGACCTGTTGATAAAGACTTTGAGTTTGAGCCTCAAACTGAGACCCATGAAGAAGAGGGAGCTCGTATTGTAGTTTCACATCTTCCTGGTATGTGTTCCAATAAACTCTACTAGTCACGTTTCTCTTTTGATTTTATATTTTCTATTTTGGTAAAGATATATGAGAAAATGAATTCTACGGTGGAGGATTTAAGAAAAATAGATACAACAAATTGAAAATAATAATAAATAAGAGAAAACAAAAGATAAAAGAAAAGAACACAAAATTTAACGTCGTAGAGTATGATTTTCATTTTATTCACTAATGATTTACAATGAGGTTGCACACAGATATAAATAAGGATCGTTTCTCAAAAATATAAGGTATCAATTAATGATAATTTCTCTAAATTAGGTTAAGTTTCCTAAATTTCTTTCAATCAAACTAATGACACCTAATTGACAACTAATGTATAAAACATCAAATAATTAAAAATCAATCAGCATAATTAACAAATCTCAACACAACGTAATCAATTTATTATATCTAAATTATCAATGTCGTATATTTATTTTAAACAGTTGAAAATGCAGAAGTTCTTGGTCGAGTATGAAAAGAAAATATATCAATTATTACACTATATTTTATATTAATTTTATTAACGTTTTATCTTACTAAAATCAAAGAAGAGTAGAAAAGTTAAGAAAAAATTAAAAGAACCTCATAAAAATTTAATAGTTCAAACAAAATTCTATCGATAGGATATCTTTTAATACCTAATGTACAATTTTCATTTTGTATTTGGTGGTGATAAAAATTTAGTACTTTTAACTATTCTCTTTCTTTAATATTTGGAGTGGAGGATTTGAATTTTAAGGTAGAATCAGGTGTCGATTTATATGTATTTCTTTTCTTTTTCACATATTTGATTACGCAATAATTCTAATAAATCGCATGTAGCAATTTTCTTCCAACTCATTAAATTATTTTAAACTTTGGTTATTGGTTTTTGTTTTCTTTATTTTCTTTATCCTAGATAGTTAGGAAGAACCTTAGTTTATTAATGATGACCAGAAAAAGGTAACCATATCGATCACCGTTCAAAGGAAAACAATATATATGGTTGCCTATGTATGACAAATTTTCAATTGATGCGTTTCTATCTGTGGTTAGCATTAATAAATTTAATGACATGACACGATAAGAATTTAATCTCATTATTATCATAAATTTTTTTTAATCAACTATCTAATTTAACTGTTAGATTAATATTTTATGACTAAAATAATAATACTCATTAATGATTAAATATTAAAATAGCTATTAAACCGCACCCATAACAAATAGCAATTTGGACCACTTGTCGAGTATACATGCAACGTACTATATAGTAGGAACTAGAACTTAATATTCATTAATCAATCATCAACTCTGCTATTTATAAACAAATAAAAGTAAAGGATAAACATAACTAAATGGTTTAAGTAATTTCAGAGATATAAACATGATTCTAATTCAAAATAAATTATTAGATATAGAATATACTTTCATAGATAACTATACAAATTTATTCACAGTTATAATAAATTGAATAATTAACAAAAAAAATTAATAATTAATAAAATTGAATTTTTCTTACGCAATCTCGTCAAATTTTTATATTTAAAGGTGGCCACTGATGAAAACATAATCATTAAAATACTTCATATATATATATATATATATAGAGAACTGACAAATACAAATTTGACACAAATATTTGCATTAGAGATGGACTAATTTCTCCTTTTTATCTTTCAGGTTTTCGTGAGGAGGACATAAGAATCATGCTTGAACATGCTAACAATATTAGAGTCAAAGGACAGAGTAAAAAATATCATCCTCTTCTTAAAATCAGACAGATTGAGCCTATCACGACACCAAAGGAATATCTGCCAATCAGACAGATTACGGGTTTTATTAATGGAGAACGCAAAAGTACTCAAAAAGTAAATGTATCATCAAGAGATATAACTAATCATCTTGCCACAAACAAAGCTAATTATGATAAGGAGGTGGTTTCTGCAGGAGAAAATAAAAACGAAGCTAAGGAGAAATATGTTTCTGCTCCAAATGTTGAAAAGCTGAATAGGGAAAATGGTGATCATGCCATAGAGGAATTGGATGAAAAGGACAGACAGAAGTTTATAAACGTTGGTGTCGCAATTCTGTGCTTGTAGCGTTTGGGGCATATGTAGGCTACAGCTTTGGGTCCTCAGAGAAAACAAGGAAATAATTACTCTAGTAAATATATCCATTAATTACATTAGAACACTTGACTTGTATTAATATTACAATGGCACCTACCTGACCTAATTTAATTATATCAAATTTTATGTTAAAATGATAAAAATAGATTAATCCAACATTATACAGCCAACTATGAAAAGATTTGGCCCCCGTTTGATTCTTTAGTTTGAATTTTATTGATTTTAACTTTTTGATTTGAATAGAAAAATTCAAACTATGTAGTTTAAATTGCAGTTTGAATTGAAGTTTAGGTGTGCAATTAAAGTTTAATTTGAACAGTAAATAAAATTCGAATTTGTGTTTGATAGGTGTGAAAACCGAAGAAAGTAGACACTTTTTTACTGTTCAAAAATGGTTTGAACAGTTAAACTTAAGGGGGGAGCTAAACTCTAAGTTTGACTGTTTAACTCAGTTCAAACGGAAAATATAATTCAAACTACATGCTTACCAAACACCAGTTCAAACTAGGCTCACTCTTCAAACTGAGTTAAACTGAACTAAACCAATGAAACAAACGGGACCATCTTTATCAAACATTTTGTACTTTTATTTACTCTCTTTTCATGCGATCATTTTCTCAAGTCTTCCATTTACATTTTTCGTTTCCTTTCTCTAGATTTGTAGCATCTATTTTTGTTATACATTGAATTAGGAGCTTGTTGGTGCCCAAAAAAGCACAACACCAAGTGCGGCTGCGCATGGTCGTTTAGACTGCTCCGCCTATATAAGTTGGGTTCCATGTCCGTTCTTTCCTGGTCGGGATACAAGATTATAGCGTCAAAAAATCCCATCATTACTGATCAAGAGTACATTGCACTTCAAACCAATACTACTGAGAATCATTACGCGAATCGTAATGTGAAGATCAGCGATGTGACTTATAGAGACTTTAAATCATTGGGTTGCAGTAACATAAGAAGCCGCCAAGAGTGCAACAGGTGGAATGAAAACCCCGCTATGGTTTAGATGATGGGTGGATCGTCGATCGTGTTTTGGAGAAAGATCAAGAGAAGCTAGCTGATATGGCTGCGGCCAAGCCATATGAGAATGCTAAAGAGATGATAAGTGCCAAGAGAGCATGAGATGCATGTTTGGAATGCTAGTCATTAGAGGTATAACCTGTCTTGCGCCCTGCAACAGTGGGGTGTCTATCAAGGGCACTCCGACACTTAAAGTCCCGTTCACTTCACCAATTTGAGTTTTGTTACAGTAAAAAACTTTTAGAAACAATCATCTAACTTTTTGGTTACAGTAAAAAGCTTTAACATAAAGTCGCATCTCAACTCAAATTAAAAACTCAAATTAGCGAACTAAACAAGCCATAAGTTGGCTTACTAATTGGGAAAGAGCTAATAGAGAAGTAAAGGTTTGGTAAAGGATTTGTTCAAATCTCCGTAAATGCATGATGTTGTATTAGAAGTGCATTGTTAGATCTGTTGCCGCCCGTCATGACGCCAAGAATTGATCAGCTTAGTCCTGAGTGTTTGGTTCTGATCACAAGGCTCGCGCTCTAGTATGCCGAACACATGAATATTCAGTAAAATGAGGAACTCACCGTGACTAGTCGACCTACTTGGGTTATTCGGTCGTTATGTCGACCAAATCAAATAGGTCCATGACAATAGAGCCCATACACTTGTCCGAGAAATAATACGCTTGTTCAAACAATGTCGCGGGGTGTTGTTTGAAAAGTCGTTCTTTGACCTATATTGGCCAATCTTGTTCAAAGATACTAATGATTCTTAACGCTCCCGTGAGAGGTGCCAATTGTTAGATGTTTTGTCCTGTTCATATATGGGCCAGTGGGACCAATTTTGAAATTACAATGGGTTAGATTTTTAAAAGACTATTTTGAGTATAACAAAAAAGAGAAATCGTGTTTGTTTATATTTATGAAATTTTGTTTTGAGTCTATGTAATTAATAATTTTAAATAATATAATAAGTAAATAATAATCAATAATCACTTAATAAATAAAAATTAATATATTAATAATATGCTAATAATGGATTATTATTAATATTAAATTATATGATAAATTAATATGCTAAATAATTAAAAAATAGCATTTAATAATCAATATATAAGTAATTATTATGTTAATAATACACTCATAATTTTTATTTTATAAATAATTTTTATAGAGAATCATAAATAACTAATTAGTGTATTTAAAAAAATATTTAGCATATTAATAAGTTATCAGTACTTTATATACTAATTAGATAATTAATTTTTAATTACATGATTAAATAATTAGTTAATTGATTACTATTGTTTATTTAATAACCTATTATTTGATATATTACATGATCAATCTTTATAATTATTTTATAATTTATAACTAATATATTATTTTATTATATATTAATTATTTATGATTTATTTAATAACCTTTTCTTAATTATTCCATCATAAAATTATATAATAACTTTTTTGGCCATTAATCTTTAAGTAATAATTTATTACTATTTATTGTTTATTACTTTTTATAAATAAATTACAAATTTAATAATAACAAATTAGTATTTACTTTATAATTAAGTAATTACTATATATTTGTTAAATTATTAATTAATATATTGTATAATTGGTAATTATATTACTAATTAACTATTTAATATAGCATTGTTTATAAGTACTAGAAAATGAAAGACGGAAAAAGAAAAACAACATTCAATTATTTTTTAATTTTTTAACAAAAACTATTCTCACTGTTTTTTATTTTCATTCTCATTTTCAAAACATTTGTTTAAAAAAAGTAATTTATAGACCATTTTCATTTTTGTGCTACAAAGATGTGCATAAACATTTTTAAAAATAATAAAAAACCAATACCAAACACACTCATGATTTTTTTTATCCTAGTTCTCATGATAGAAATATTTGATTGTTAGGAGATAGATTTTATAGAACCATATCCACCTTCTTATGGATACCTCTACATTCTTTTTATAGTGGATTATGTGTCAAAATAGGTAGAAGCCGCGGCGTGCCCGAAACAACGATAATGCAACTTTGTGAAGTTTATGAAGAAAAATTGTTATCCAAATTCGGTACGCCACATGCTATCATCAATGATCAAGCCAAGCCAACTAAAAGGAAAGGAAATGAAAGAGACAACATATTTATATTAAATAAAATAATAAAGACGCAAAGACAAAGATGATATATTTCTGCAACCGTTCTTTTGAGACTATGATGCACAAGTACAATGTCATTCATAAAGTTTTGACCGCCTATCGTCCACATACGAATGGCCAACCTGAGTTGGCAAATAGAGAGATCAAGTAAATACTGGAGAAGACGGTTAATCCCAACCGTAAGTATTGGTCTTTACCCCTATGTGTTGCACTTTAGGCATACCGCACTACATATTAATCCCCACTTGGGATGTCTCCCTACGAGTTTGTCTTCAGAAAAGCCTCTCATCTACCTGTAGAGCTCAACCATATGGCTTATTAGGTTATCAAGGCCCTTAACTTTGATCTCAATGTTGCAAGTAGCCAACGGAAACTCCAACTGACTGAAACTAAGGAGTTGAGGTACGACGCATATGACAACTCCAAGACAAAAATGATGGCGGCTCACCACAATCAGATCCTGAAAAAACACTTCGAGCTAAACTAGCAAGTTCATCTTTATGATTATCGCCTACATTTCCACCCTGGTAAGTTGAGGTTGTTGTGGACTAGCCTATTCGTGGTGAAAGGGCCTTTTCCAATGGTGCTATCGAGATCGAAGACTCGAGCAATGTGAGACTATTCAAAGTTAATGGTCAGGGACTAAAAAACTATGTGAAGCGGGTACCCCAACTTGAATAGATCACTCTCGTAGCTTCGGACTACCAACACTCTAAGCGGGTCCATAGTTTTTCTTCACATTTTTTTTTTGTTTTGTTTCTTTTTTTGTTTTATTGTTGTTCTTCATCCTAGCTAATCTCAGAAATCAGTATCATATCCATATCTCCATAACCTCTCAGGAACAATCTCAGTAACTACCTTTTAGAATGTTCCATTTCCATCCAAATTTTGTTACTTCATGCAAACTCAAAGTTCAAAACCGAAATAGCAAGCAACAATAATTTCTTTCGTAATTTTCTTTTCATTTTCCATTTTTATTTTCAAAACCCTGTTCACAATCCACTATCCCGCACATCTTGATAACCAACTAATTACAACTTGTTTCAAGTTATATCACAAAGTTGAAAAGACCAAACAAAGAACTCTTCTTTGGTTGTGCAAACCAAAGATCTTCATTTCACTTTAATTCATGAAGAAGTTATACCTCGTACATAACCAAAAGACAAACCAAAAAAAAAAAAACATTTATTCACAAAACCAATGCTACCAAAAAGGAATATGCCTCATTCATAAGCAAAAGAAAGCATGCATATAGAGAACGAATGTCCCTATAAATATTCTTATACATTATACATACCGGTGAACATATTAAACATTCTTTGAATTATACACCAAAGATCTAACAGGCAAAAATCAAAACTGAATAAAGATCCTGTTAAAGAAAAAAGAAAACAGAGAGACAAATACCCGAAAAAAAAAATAAAGAAAACAAAGAAGTGAATAGAGATGGCATTTAGGCAGCAAAGAGTTGGTGGAATTACTGGTGTACGGCCAAGGGAATTCAACCGTCCTGTTTATGAAGATTTCCAGCCCCAAATTGAGACCAACGAAGAAGAAGGAGCTCACATTGTAGATTTACGTTTTCCTGGTAACATTTCGCTTTCTACTTTTATGTCAATATATTTTTCCCCTCAATTTCTACTTTCATATCAATATATATTGGGTTTATATACATGCCTACTAAATGGTATTTGTAGTCGTGACCCTCCGGTAATAGGACGGTATTAGGGATGTTATTTAAGGTCGGAGTCGGTACGTGGGCTAAAATTTAAGGCCGAGTCGGGGCCGACATGAGGGTGGGAGAAACGCACTTGCCCTAATATATATTCCTTTTTTAAATATTGCATGTATATATGTATTATATTATAGTGTTTAATGTTGAAACAACAAATGTGGAGTGCAAAAAATAGAGGAAAAGTATACCTTAACTCTAATGTATTTAGCATTTTCCATCTTTAAATTATGAGTAATCTTGACAAATACTCCTTGAAAGTGCATGAGTCAGGATTTTTTCCCTTTACTCTTAATTCATAACCTTTCTAGTCAAATAATTACACTAATAAAAGAGTATTTATTAAGAATAATGGATAAAAGTCCAGACTCATCTACTCTCAAAGACAAATTCTCTATTTTTTCTTAAATTATTATTATTAGAGTTATTATGGATGTGCCTGAATTATTCAAAGTTCTTTTTTTTTTTTTCCTTTTGCTTTTTTCAAGGTTTCATCAAAGAGCAATTGAAGATCACGTACGAGGCTGAAGGAAACAACATTAGGGTCCGAGGACAGCGACCACTTGGGAACAACAGATGGAGCCGTTTAAACCAACTTCTTCCAGTCCCACACAACTGTGATGTGAACAAAATCCATGCCAAGTTCCACAATGGAATCCTTACTATTACCATGCCAAAAGATCAGGTCCTGAAACCGGCATTGGTACGCCCTAAAGAAGAGAAGCCCGCAGAGAAAGCAACCCCGGAGAGTAGTAATGAACCCGCTCCTCCGAAAGCTAGTGAGACTAAAGTTGTTCCTCCTTCAAGTTCTGAACCTAGTCAAAAAGCTGCTGCAGCTGCTGAGCAACAAGCAGAAAAGGGTCAGGAGCAAACTAAGGACGCGAGAAATGCTGATGCTGCCGAGCAAACGTCTCAAACCGTTACTTCGGCTGCAGATCACAAAGGTGAAAAGCTGAGGGATGAGAAGAAGATGGCTCCGTCTTTGAGCTCTAAGAAAGGGATAGTCGAACCCGAGAGACAAAAGGGTGTTGCGGAGGAGACTCTTACAGCACAACAGGAGATTGCTGATGAGAAGAGGGTGGTAGCTACGGCTGATACTCATAAATACACAAGTGAGACAAAAAGAGACGATGAAAGCAAAACGAGTGAGAATGAGAGGCTTAAAGAACCAAAAAAGACCGAGATAGTTGCGGAAAGGAGTTTGGACAAGGAAAAGGAAAATACTCAGAAAGGAAAGGGATCCTTCGACAATGGAAAGAAAGCCGTCGGAGATTTTGTTTCTGGTGCTGCGGGTGAAGAAAAGCCGGAGAGGGACGACGGTGAAGTGAGCAACGATGGAAATAAGCTAGGAATAAGGCATGCAATTGAAGGTGCAAAACAAACTGTGACAGGTGCGGTGAGGAAGCTGAATGATGGTGATAGGCAGATGCTGATAAATATTGGTGTTGCAGTTCTTACGATTGTAGCAGTTGGGGCTTATGTTTCACACAGCTTTGTGTCCTCCAACAAACGCCCAAACTAGAGTCCTTACAACTCAATACCATTAAAGTTCTATTGAAATTTACACCAAATTATTGTATTGCAAATGTTAAACCTATAATCAAGAATCTATATTCGATACAATGAAGACACTTTTTTCTTTTTTTCTTTTTTTTTTTTTTTGTTCAGACTCGATTACAAATTTACAATGGGTTAAACGAAACTTCAGAGAACAAATGAACAGTCTTAATTGAAAAGTAATAGCTGGTATTTGTTCCACGTCCCCTAATTTAGTCGCAAAAGTTCCAAGAAAATACATAATTAATTTACCCCAATTTGTGATTTTTTTTTTTTGTTCTTTTTCTGTATCATCATGACGTGAGGAGTGAGTATAGAATACCAAACTATTTCTTAATTTTCCCTGCTTTTCTTCAAACGGAGAAAATGAGGATCAGAACTTTTTCAGTTTCTTTTAGAATGGTTCTTTCCAACCAAAGTGTTTTACTCGATGAAAACAGATTTAAAATTTCGTGTCACATGATCGAATTGACTCATCAAGTTGAATCACCCAAATAGGAAGCAATTTTCTTTCTTACCACAATGGTAACACAAGCGAAGAGCTTGAAAAAAATAGAGAAAATTACAGGTTCTACCTAAATACTTGACTTATTAAAAATACCCCTTTCGTAAAACTCTACCCCTTGACTAGTTTTAATCTAAAAGGTAGGAAATATATGGACTAATGTTAAGGGGTAGAAATAAAAGAGGGCTTCATTTTAAAAGGTATTTTTAAAAATTTCTCAAGTACTTGACTTATTTCTCTTGAAAATAAGTAAATAATTACCACCTAATATGGTGGCTCAGCAGTAAAGAATTACCGTGAGAGTCTGTGATCAAAGGTTCGAGTGATAGCTAGCACATTCAGTGGGATTAAGATGATGCACTCTCATAAAAGGGCAGGGCACATCAGTAGGGCCGTCACCGAAAATTGCATCTGGGCCAGCCCCCTTGGTAATGCCTAGGGGTATGCCAACGCCGGTATCCCCTTTCCACATTTTTCTTTGTGAAAAATAAAAAGGACACATAAAGGAGTTTGGAGAAGAAAAGGTAACATAAAAATCCCCTCCTCACTAAAGTTAAAAGCAAGGCAAGCCAACATTCCTATTTACAAAGATTTCAAGCGCCAAACTAAGGCCAATGCAGAAAAAGGAACGAGCGGGTAATATATTTGTTCTCCTGGTATGTCTTCCAATGAAATCTACTTTTAACTACTCACACTCCTCTTCCTATTTTTACTTTATTTTTGTCTTCTACATTTTACGTATATACATTACCGGTTGATGTACTTATGATTACATGAGTCTGTCAAAACTATTTTCCTGATTCATAACTAGAAAAATAAAGAAAATATTTACATGAAATGCGAAATTAGTGTTATTTGAGCCTTCAAAAAAAAAAATTGTTACTTGAGAGGTGGTAAGCATTTTACCATTAATCTCACGTCTTTGAGTGAGATCTCCCCTGCATTATCATCGCCATGAAAAGACCTTAACAGCCAATCTGAGGATAGATAGTGTGGCTCCTCTACGCCTAGGACACCAGAATGGCAGAACATCAATAGCATCACCACAAAAAACATCATTAACACTTAAAGTCGCAACATCAAACCATAGAGAATGCTAGCATCACATTTTCTGCAACTCTTTTTGTCACTTTCTGCATTCACTGTTTAACATGTTGATCCACTAACATGAAATATAATTATTTAAATAGAGAAAGAGATAGTGGAGTCTACGTGTCAAACAGTAAATGCAAAAGGTGACAATGAGAGTGACAAAAAGAGTGATGTTGTATTTCTCCAAATTATAAACTGTCATGAAGTCGTTCTCTCTTTTTGTGTTTCTGTTTTTTTAGTTATTTTTTTTTTCATTATTTATTTTTGGGAACCATCCTAAAGGTCAAGGCCGTTCAGTTTCGTACTTTTCATTTCGTCAATTGAAAAATAAGGCAGAAAACTGCCTCTTCAGAGAAGGTTGAAAAGGATCTGGGAGGGATTCCTCAAGCAGTTACTCTGCAGATAAAATGAAAAACATAAGAGAAAAAGAAAGGTTGTGCTCTGAGATGCCGCAGAGGGATCGTTGAGCTGAAGGAACAAAATGGGGTGCAAGAGGAAACTTGCAAATAAAATATATTGGCAATGAGAAGAGGGTGGTAGGTTTTGCTGATCCTCATAGGCAAAAGTGAGTCAAAACCTCAAAAGGACCGGCAAAAATCTCTTCGGAGCAAAGAGATGAACACAGAAAGATTGACAACAAAAGGCTTTTGAGAGCCGGAAAAGACGACAAAATTGTGTAAAGAAGTTTGGATAAGGAAAAGGAGACTTCCCATGTAGGAAAATGATAAGATCCAGAACAATTTTGAAAGAAAAAAGAATCGAGCTAAGAAAAGATAGAAAAATTGAATTGAGCTGGATTGCATTTAGACTGAAAAAAGTCAAGAAATACAGATATCTGATTGCAGATATTCGAGAGATCTGCAACTTTCCCTAGAGCAAAGCTCACAATCACACTCAAATCCAGCTACCCCTCACTTGCCACATTCCTTCCCTTTTATCTCGAGACAAACTAACTCCAAAACTAAGTCTCAGCAATACTAACCAGTTCCCAATACTAACAAATTCTCACCCAAATTATCAAAAAATAGAATATATAAAAAATCCCACCAAAATTCCGGCGCTCACAACAGAATAACGGCTACGCACTTACATAAAAAATGGAGACCAGCAATTATCCTCGGACCCTTGCTTCTCTCTACGTCTCACATAATTGAGATGGATAATGATTTAAAGCCCAAGGATGATGATGGTAATATCATTGACAGAAATAAGTTAAAAAAAAAAAGAGGAAAAAAAACAGTGGAAACTGCAAAGACAATGACAGATACAGGGAAGAGACTGAAAGATGAAGATAGGCAGAAGTCTAATAAATTGTGGTGCTGCACTTCTAGTGATTGTAGGACTAGAGGCTTATATTTCCAACATCTTTGGGTCTTCTCTTTTTTTTTTTTTTATACAACACGGGATTGAACCCGCAACCCCCACCCAAACCCCCTAGTGCCACTAGACCAAGAGGTCTTAGGCAACACCTTTGGGTCTTCTATTTGCGCATTTGTCTTCCCATTATGTTATGGCTTTACTTAGTTTTCATATATGTTATTAATGTCTTAGTTATATGTGAGACTTCAGTCAAATATACTACTAGTTTTTTTTTTTTATTAATTAAGATGCTTGCATGTATTCTCGTATGCCAATTCTTTTTGGAGGAACACTACTTCTGCAAGGCGTTATGAAAAATACTAACACAATATTTTAACTCAGACCAGATCACATGGAATGTCTTTGCGCAATTATCTATTTATCATTAAATTGTCAAGAAGGAACTTAATTCACAACCTATGCTTACTCCATGTTAATAACAGTTGGAAGTCAAAAATGAAAAAAGTAGCGCTAAAGACACCAACTCTAATCCCAATTATTTTGTACCAACTTAGTGGCATAGAGTTGTCATATTTTCACTAATAGATGTAGTTGCTTATTATTAATTGACGTGGCAGTCTTTTAAACATCTACTAATAAAAAGACGACAACTCACATGCCTCGGAAGTTGGTATAAAAAAATTCGAATTAGAGTTAGTGTCCCTAACATTATTAAATGGAAATAGCAATTTGGCCTTACATAATTATTTTCCAGCAGGACTCCAATGGTGAACAAGGGCAAAGAAACAAATTAATGACGATTGATGAGCCTTATGTCAAATTCCAACACTTACAGTAAAAGACAACCACAATATCTGTACTCTACAATATAGAATTTTGTTAATTTGATCAGGCATGAATCTAAGGGTAGTACAACATTCACAAAGCCGACCATGAAAAATTAAATTAAATGTAAGAGACCAGTCCTTTAAACCATCCAGTAAGAGATAAATATTTCATCATACAAAAGAAAAGGATGTAAGAAATTAGAACCTAATGATACTCATCAGAGACATCGTCTCCATTAAATCCATTACTAGTATCCTCATCAACCAAAGATTTATTTTTAAGCTTTGATGATCTAGCGGAAGATTTCAGAGGTTTCCTAACCTTCTCTGCCTGCAACTCCATCCCCTTCTCTGAAGGTCTTCGTTTTCTTTTCAAGCGTGCAACTCCAGCATCCTCTGAGAGGGGGGAAAAAAACATAGGTAAACTAGAACAAAAAATTTAAGAGAGAGACTTAAAATGGATATTACACAGTCCAACCATGTCTATATCCATGGCAATTGCTGTCAATCCTTCATTTTCTTTAATTTGAGTTTATTTGGAACAAAGCCTTATCAATAGTTACAAAAAATTAAAAGGAGATCATTAGCTTAAATTTGGAGATTAGATTATACAAACAAATAGGCAAGGAGAGGCAAACTTCACCAAGAGGACCAGCTTACTTCTTCCTTCTAAGTCAGAATCAAGTCATTTAACTACAATATGTGCATCTAAATATCTAACTTATTATCTTACCTTCAAGCGGACTTGATGCATGATTCATTGCTCCTCCATTTGGTTCACCTTCTTCTGAAAGAGGGGATCCAGAATTATTACTGTCCACTAACTTGGACGAACTCTCAATGCATTTCTCTTGCTGCTCAGCCATATCAGGAGAAGGAATTGCGGGCAAAAAGCATAATTCATCCTGTGACATATCTGAGTCACTAAAAGCTGAATCCTTTTCCACTGTGACAATATCAACTTCATCATCTTCATTGGCGTTAATTTCTTTCGCCTGTAAACATCCATATGATTAAGAGAACCCAAAAAAGAAAAAAGAACAAAAAAAAGAAGCTCGAGAGTTATAATTAATTCTCTACCTTTTCAGTTTCAGGAATCAGATCAAATTCATCTTCTCGTTCTACATACTCCTCATTTTCCTCGAGCTCTTTGAAATCAGGAGCAAATGCACTCCAGTTTTCGGTATAATCTTTAGCCCATATATAAACCAATCCAGTCAAGGAAACAGAGACAATAATAGGGTGAACTGGATGCCAAGCTAAATCAATCAAGGCTTCCTTTGGCCCTTCAAGAATTTTAACAAGATGCCCACCCCTATCCCATATGTAAATCTTGTGCTCTCCTTTGCTTGCAGAGCCACCAATTACCCATTCACCATCTCCACTAAAACAAGGCGCTTTCCAATGCATCTTTGTAATTGAATCTTGAAACTCCCGGAAAAGTGTTAAGCACTTCAATCCAACAGCCTTCAACTTCTCAACATCATCTTGCCCCTCAGTGGCCTCACTCAGTTCATCAAGGGCTTTAAGTCCATCTTTTGAGAGCAGAAGGTTTTCATATATTCTTATTGTTCTATCATTTGAATTTGTTAGCAGATACTGCCCGTTCCTGCAGAATACTATGTTCTTAATCACAGCGCCCCCAGAAGTGGGAACCATAGCACGCACTTGGGCACTTTTGTAATCTACTAGAAGTACTTCACCTTTAGAGTTCCCCACATAAACCACGTCTCCAGACTTATTAAAACAAGCAGCAGTGGGAGTGAATGACGGAGTCACATCTGAGAATTTATTTTTTGGTGGAGGTGCAGCTCCGGCACCTGCATCAGGGATGGAAACTGGAAGCACAGTTGTGTTTCCTGTATCTAAGTCAACAATCATAGGAGCAGATGAAAGGGGACAAGCCAAGCAGAGAGATGGAGTTGAAGAACCAGGATGAAGGCGAGCTTGTAGAGAGGTCTGCTGCAAGGTTGTACGAGTTATCTTCTCACCGCTAACAACATCCCACAGTGTTAATGACTTATCAGCAGCAGACACAAGAATACGATGACCGTACTTTGACCAGCATACACTAGTTATGGCAGCACTGCATTCTTTATCCTTCAACTCCTTGGCAATACCCCTCGTCTCAAAATCCCATATGACGCAACTTCCATCAGAGCATCCAGCTAACATGAATATAAAACAAAGAACCAGTGCATAAGCCCAAAAAACAAATAATAATAATAATAATAATAGAAGAAAATAATATGGTCATTATCCAACAACACTAAAGGAAGAAAATCCAAAATCATCATAAAAAGTTCCTGACTTTCTTACCCCAGGTCCCTAGCAAAGGACTGAACAAGTAAATATACAGAGGATCCATAATGTAAACCAGTCCACAAACAGGATAAAACCAAATAAGTTTTCTCGTGATCTTTTTATTATTTCTGAAGATCTAGATCCAGATAGAGCAACTTTAATTCTTGTAAATCAGTAAACTAGTTTGGATGATAATCTCAGTTTGATGAATTTAGTTCATAAAGGGTCCCAAAGAAAAAAAGCAACATTCCTACCACGCCAACACATTCAAAAACACGTGCTAAATTTTATTCTCATAATCGTTTTTTATAGGAGGTTCTCGTTTCCTCCGTAGAATAAACACAGCTATGGGAATCAAGCTTCGAATGAGCTACTATCCCTTGTATCTTTTAATACTTTTCTTTTCTCGTATAAGGATTCTTATCAATTTCGTTCATAAACCCACTAAAGAGAGCCTCGTTTTCAACGATTAAGGCGTAGTAGAAACAAGATACATGAAAACCAACTCCAATTTATCAATAACTTTCACCAGTATTCACAAGACAAACTAGAAGAAAGGTGTTTTGTGACAAATAAAAACAAAAGACAGAAAAATAGTAACTTCCGGCAACTTTCAGAATACCCACATGGCGACATTATCACAAACATCAAAAGAAAAAAAAAATTACGTTAAAACGAGAAATATAGAAAACCCAGAAGGGAAGAGAGAAAAACCTACCGGCGAGAAGGGTACCTCGACGATTAAAGGCAATGCACTTCATGACCCCATGTTCCAAATACTCCTCTATCACTTCCGGAAAATCCCCTTGCAAAGGGTCTTTTAGTTTCAAAGGTCATCGAATTTCCCCAGAGGAGGAAAAAAAACACAGATTAAAGTGAGAAAAATGGGAATAAACCCATTACGAAAAGTAAGAAAATTTTCATCAAAGAAATTATAAAACATAAATAGAAAATACGCACGGACAACACACACACACACACACAGACACACAGAAAGCTGACCGATTATTGGGGCGTTCATCATCTCCTTAGGAGGCTTGGAAAGCCAAAGCAGGGGCTGGGCTTGGTGAGATTGGTGTTGTGAAAGAAGCTATACCACCGATTCTGACATGTTTAATGTCGCTGCGAGAATAAGAAGATAAAGAAGAAGAAACTCCTCCCGTGGCCGCTTGATGGTCGGTAGAGGTGTAACCCAAAGAGAAATTTCGAGCCGGCCGGTTTAATCCGGCCTAAACTTGCAGCTGTAATGGTCGGTCACTGGATTTATTTCGAATCTCGGTCTCCCTCTCTTTCAGTTTTTAGTGCGCCCAGATTCTTAAGGAAGCCTTGCAAAACAAACGAGGGTTTAAAATGCGGACACCCTTCAAGCCTTCACCTTACTCGATGACCGTTTTTTACCCAATAGATGGCCGACCTTTTTATTTTTTAGAATTATTTTCATAAATATCCTTAAATTATGTACTCTATTTTAAAATACTCCCTTATTTTTTTAAAAAAATAGTTTTAAATGTCATTTGATGTATAGAAAACAGATATTATTCCCTCTCTTAATTTCTGTGTATAATTCTAAGAGTTTGATGAGGTGGTAGGTTATTAAAGATAAAAATATATATTTTTACAACATATGTGCTTATTATTAGAAAATATTAATAAAGAATTAAGGTTCATTTAATTTCAACCATTGATCTAAAGATATGTAATTTGAGCCATCAAGTTAAAGTTATTTGAAAAAACCCTAGAGTTAAGCAACCACCTCATCACTCATTCTCACCCACCGTCGACACCCCAACCATACCTCCTCCGCTCACAGACGACTGTGCGAGCGCCGGAATGTCGTCACAAGCATCGAAGACCAACCCTCATCGTCTCCACCATCTAAAGCATCATGAGCCTCCCTCGAGCCTTGGCCATCACAACAACACCTCCCCGAACGGTGCCTAAATGCCCAACTGAACCTCCTAATTAAACTCTGTGATTCCCTCGTACACTCGCAACCACTAACGGCTGTGTCTTTTATAGCAAGCTCTGTCGCGAATCCTGTCTCGAGACTATTCTTCGCTACCATTGGGAGGTGGCTTGGTTGGGTTCGTGATTTTGGTTTGCGAGAGGGGAAGTGACCAGAGCCTTGTTGTGCTTCACTCTTCGGTGCGGCGAGCTCTCAGTGGTGCAACGTGGTCACGAATGTAGGAGTGGTGAGGGGTGGCGGCACACCCATAGGTATGAATAGGGCTATGCAAGTTAGAGCCAAGAAAGAAGACGACCACTTTTTTTGGTTTTAATCTTTTTTCTTTTGTTTTTTGTTTTTAAAAAAGTTTAGGTTTTAATTTTCTGTTATATTATTTTAATATTAAATTTTAATTAGAATTGAATACATTTAATTAACTTTTTAATGATATGCCACGTCAGCAAACTGTTAAAATAATACACGAATGTTAATAGAGGGGTAATTTGATCTGCTTTTTATACATCAAGAGTGCTTTGAATGATTTTAAAATATCAAATGATATTTTGAAACATGGTACATAGTTCATGGGGTATTTATGAAAATAATCCTATTTTTAATAAGTAATTAATTTTTTTATTTTTAAAAAATGAGTCACATTGCTCGTTCGAGTTAAGAACCTAGTTAAAATGTAAATTATCTAAGAGAAAACATTGTAACGAAAAAAAAAGTTGACTTTTAAATTTTTCTAAGAGAAAATATTGTAGTAGAAATTTGAGTTATGATTCGAACTGATGAGACAAATCAGGTCATGGTTTTTTTAAGTAGGTAACAAAAAAATGACTATGATCAAATTAGTGATTATATTCATTATTAGTTTATTAATAGTTTGATAAACTTGTAATTTATTTGTTGAAATTGATATATTACTAACTGATTTTAGTTAATTATTAATTAATATTGACTAATAATAAAAAATAATTAAGTTAATCAATAATAAATTAAAATTAATTATTAATAAATTATCAAACAGTAAATAACAACTAAATTAATGAAAAAAAAATTCCTTAATTTTATAAAACTTCCACCATTTGTTATAACAACTCCTAAGAAACAACAATTTGCCTATATATCTCACTCTAAAAGGCAATACCTAGCATCCCAAATTCTGTTTAGTTGGCAAGACTCCCCATTAAAAACTTCCATTTCTTTTAGTTTTTTTTTTCTTTTGATGTGGTTGTAAATAATGGTAAATAGGAAGGGTATTATGGTAGTTGCACTTATTCCAACTACAATATTAGGTGGAGTAAATTGCAATGATGCACCTCATACCATATGTTTTTAGGCAAAATGCATCCCAAGTTTCTAATTTTAGCAGAAATTTGAAGTACATTTTGTTAAAAATGAATAGTTTATAGCGTATCAGTCCAATTTACTCATATTAGGTGGTCTATAAACTTTTTTTTTGAAAATTATAAACTGAATTTTCACTCCCATGTAATTCTACACTTAACTCTTTGTCTCTATCACATGATGAAGAGTTCGAATCCCCACCCTTAAATTAAAAAAAAAAAAAGGTAATCTCACTTTGTCTTAAAACTTATAGCTTAAAATTGAGAAAATTCATCCTCTACTTTCACAGCCTCAATCATCACAAGACGAATAACTCGAGAGTCATTTGTTTAGAAGGTTCAAAGAGTTTGAACCCAAGTTCGGATTCAATTTGTTTTGTAAAAAAATAAAAAGAGATTTAAACTCTTGACGTGACGTTGATTTCATAACCTAAGTTTTTCTTAAGTTCTCAGGGTTTAAATCTTGGTTCAAACTCCAAAATCTCATACCAACTTAAAACCCAAAAAGATTCAATTTGAACTCTCTTACCAAATGAACCCTTAGTTTAACATTAAAGGAGGCAACTTTTTCTTTTCTTTTCTTTTTATTTTTTAGGTTTTTTAAAGGAGGTAACTTTTTCTTTATTTTTTATTAAGTATTTATCATTTTATACCCTGAATTTTAGATTTATTTAAAAAATATACTCTTAATTTTTAACTTCTACAAATGTTTCCCATCACATTCCATTTCATAGGGTGCGTTTGGAATTGATTCCAAAACGTTTTTATTTTCTGTACGAAAATGAAAATGAAAACGTTTTTAGTTTCATTTTTGAATTATTTCTAAAAATGCGTTTGGTAGTTTTATTTAGAGATTGATTTCAGTTTTAAAAAAAACTGAAACTGCGTTTGGTGGTTTAATTTTTGAAAACATGTAATAATATATTAAATAAATAATATTATTAAATATATTAAATAAATA